CCACCTCCCAGAGGGGAGACACAAAATGTGCCCACCTCCGGGGGAAAGGCATGTTAAGAAAAGTACAAAGGGGTGGAGCGGAAGACGGAACGCATATGAAAAAGAAGGGAGGACGCCAATCAAGCCGCTATTAAGTCTAATCCTTGAGGTTGGGGTCGGCCGTGTGGGGCTCGGACCCATGGAGTGCGACTCGTGTTTACTCTCCTTCAGTAACGAATATTCGGCCCAACTCACCTCGGCCTCAAACGTCTCACCGCAGCTTAATGCGTCTCACCTCGGTCTCAAACGTTTCACCTCAGCTTAAGACGTCTCACCTCGGTTTAAGACGTCTCACCTCGGCCTCAGACGTCTCACCTTAGCCTAAGGCGTCTCAGCTCGGCCCAAGACGTCTCACAACGGTCCAAGGCGCCCAGGTCCATAGCGAGCTCGGCCTAGGATGCCTCGGCTACAATGGGCTCGGCCGTGGTGAACTCGGCCACGTTGCGCATAGAGGTCGGGTCGGGACATTTACTCTCTTTCGTTGTCGACTTCTCCAATGAAGAGAGTGGGGGACTCATGATGAATATATTATGACCGGAGCAAACCGACCCGGGAAGCGGTGCAATGAAGTATGGAATGGACCCGGGGCCCGGAGGTTGTACCCCGTGCTCGGCCCAAGGTGCCTCGCCCATATGAGCTCGGCCATGTGAGCTCGGCCATGGTGAGCTCGGCCATATGAGCTCGGCCACATGAGGTCGGCTAGGTGAGCTCGGCCCTATGAGCTCGACCACATGAGGTCGGCTAGGTGAGCTCGGGCCACATGAGGTCGGCTAGGTGAGTTCGGCCACGGTGAGTTCGGCCCTATGAGCTCGACTACATGAGGTCGGCTAGGTGAGCTCGGCCCTATGAGCTCGGCCATGGTGAGCTTGGTCCTATGAGCTCTGCCATGTCGAGCTCGGCACACCCGCGGACCCGGTCTACACCCGGGCGCGGTCAACTCGGAGATCCAACTACCCCCCGATTTAGTGGGAGGCGGTTGGGGGGTTTAGCTCGTATAAAAGCCCCCTTCCTTGTCCTAACAAGGCATGTTCATTATCTTCACTAATTTTAATACACTTCATTCCTAAACTATTACTTTATAGCCATTATTGTCTTAATCAAACCTTGTAATAGCTTATTAGCGATATTTAATACAATTTACGGTCCCTGCGACCTACGGTCCTCGCTACCTTTCGATATCCTCGTGTTACATTTATTTATTTCATATCACGTTCTTATCCGGATTCATTGATTCGGGCCACCCAGGGTCAATTAATTCCATCAGATGGATTTTCACGACATTGTATTAAACTTATGTTAGATTTTTGTATTATATATGGACTTATGGTTTTGTTGTTGTTAAACTTGTGTTGAATTTTTGTATTATGGACTTGTGGTTATTAAACTTGTATTGTTGAATTTTGTATTATAAACTTCTAGTTATTAAACTTGTGTTGTTGGATATTGTATTATGAACTTTTGGTTTTGTCATTTTATGGTTATTGATTGATTGTAATTTTGTAATATGATACATGGATTTGTTGTAATATATTTATGTAGTGCTACTAATGTATTAGGTATATTTTTTAGATTTTTTACATGTATGCTTTAAAAGGCTTTAATATGTAGGCCTTAAATAGGCTCAAAGCCTATTTAGGACATACTTTGAAGTCTTTTTAATGACCTACATATTAAATTGGCTTCAGGCCGGCAATTTATATCGTGCACCAGGGCGCGCATTGCATTGTGCACCCTGATGCAAAACGACGTCGTTTCAGTTTTTTTTTTTTTTTTTTTTTTTTTTTTTTTTTGAAATTTCGCTACTCTGTGTTGGCGGTTAATTTTCTTTTTAAAAAAATCTCATGTTAAAAAATGTACATAATTTTATACTAGAATACACATAATTGTATACATGAATGTACATAATTGTATAACAAAATACACATACTTTAAAAAAGATAATACACATAATCTAACATAATACATAATACACATAAACTTTTAACATAATCCACATAAACTTTTAACATAATCTACATAAACTCTTAACATAATACACATAAATTTCCTGTTTCGGATGTACATAATTGTATAAAAAAATGTACATAATTGTATAAACAAAAACACATAATAACGTCAACTCCCTACATAACTTACCAAAATGACGTCGTTTTGGGAGGCACGGGCGCACAGTGCTATGTGCGCCGTGGTGTAGGATATAATGATTGGTTCAGGCCAGGCCAGGCCAACTGTAGGCTCAGGCTTGAGCCTAACAAAAAGCTTACATACAGGCCCAAACCTAAGCTCAGGCTTCAGATTTTCATAGCATGTTCAGGCCTAATTTTCTAAAGTCCGGCTCGATTCGGCCTATTTCCATCCCTAATTAATGATGTATTTTTATCTTTTGTGTTTTACAGAGTTCCCACTAGAGTTGTTTCTACTCTACCAACAATGTTTCCAACAATTCCTATAATATATTTCATATTTTCATTAACATTCTCATTCTGTTATAATGTTATTCATTTTTCATTTATCTTATGTTTGTTTTGGTACTTGGAGAATATGTTCCTTGGCCCCAAAATACTTCTAATGGCTTGGCAACTTTAATTTTTCTTTTGAAAATGTTGCTGCCCTTGAAGAGTTGAGACCAGCTGATTAACACATATCTGATTTCTAAAATTCTGGTAAGAAATACTGAAACCTCTGCCTTTCTGGAATTTTGGTATAATATATCACTCTCCATTGTTCTCTTTTATCGCTGCTTAATGCCTTAATTTGTTTAATAAGTTATTAACTTGTGTACCAAGACTATGTGGTCTAATGGTATCCGGGTTGGATTTCCATTTGGAAAGTTGTGAGTTCAAGCTTCGGTGGAGGTGTTATTGGTTCTTTATGTTTTAGTAGGTTGAGAAAGTATATGAACAGACACTACATTGTAATAGAGCCAGTAGCATTCTTAACTATGATCTAATGTGATTCAATTTGCCCCCATCATTACTTGATATGGAAAAAATGCATCGTAAGCCTAACTGTTAGAACTAGAAATAGATAATTATATTTTACTTGCCTAATATCTAATGTATTTAACTTTTTATCTTAACGGGAAGAAGGATTTGCCTCCATCCTTACTTAATATGGAAAAAATGCATCCTAAGCCTAACTGTTAGAACTAGAAATAGATACTTAATTATATTTTACTTGCCTAATATCAAATGTATTTAACTTTTGATCTTAACGGGAAGAAGGATAGTAGATTTATTCTGAGTATTTTGTTTCACTTAGTTCACTGTCTGATACTCTGATTAATGGTAATTTTTGCTTTGTGAAATTAGATTTTGGGCAGTAAAATTAGAATGAACTTGTAATAGCTGTAACTTTGTAAGTTTAATTTTGTAAATTTTAAGTTAGTATCTGTTTAATTATTTTGACTAGATTGAGTGATTGACAATTTGTAAATTGCTTTGTATTTTGAATTGTTTCGTCAATTTCTATGTAATTTTTTTAAATTATTTTTAAAATATCTGAATGGAATCCAAAATCCGAATTAGCTAATCCAAAATGCAACATTAATTAACAGCACGTTTGGTTCACGGAATGAATTTTGAGGTAATAGGAATGCTATTCCATAAGGAATGGAATAGGCAAGGAATAGAACAGGAATTGTATTCTATTGTTTGGTTCGCGGAAGGAATAGACTTTAGGAATTATATTACAGTGTTTGGTTGATTTAAGGAATAGAAATGAAATATATTTTAAAAGACATAAATACCCTTATAAAAATATGTGATGGTGGCGATGGTGGTGGCGATGGTGGTGGTGGTGGCGGCGATGGTGGTGGCGGTGGTGGTGATGGTGGTGGTGGCGGTGGTGGTGGTGCTGCTGGGGTGGTAGTGGTGGTGGTGGCGGTGGCAGTGGTGGTGGTGACGGTGACGGTTGTGGCAGTGGTGGTGGGGGTGGCGACGGTTGTGGCGGCGGTGGTGGTGGTGGTGGTGACGGTGGTGCTGCTGGTGGCGGTGGTGGCGGCGACGGCGGCGATAGTGGTGGTGGCGGTGGTGGTGGTGCTGGGGTGGCAGTAGTGGGGGCGGCAGTGGTGGTAGGGGCGACGACGGTTGTGGCAGTGGTGGGGGGGGGGGCGGCGACGGTTGTTGCAGTGGTGGTGGCGGTGGCGGTGGTGCTGCTGGCTGGTGGTTCTGGTGGTGGCGGTGGTGGCGATGGTGGTGGAGGTGGGGGTGATGGTGGTGGCGGTGGCGCAGCGGCGGTGGTGATGGTGGTGGTGGCGACGACGGTGGTGAAATAGGATAAATTTATATATAGGATAAAAAAAAATAGGTTAAAGAAAGGGGTAAAAAAAGGAAATAGATTCTAAAATCTATTCCTGAGCGTTCAATAATAGGCTAATACCGGGGGGGGGGGGGGGGGGGGGGGGCTAGTAATAGCTATTACCTTATTTGAGGTAATAGGCTATTACCAGGAATATTATTCCTGGTAATAGAAATGGTTACCAAACAAAGGAATAGGCTTATTACTGGGAATGTTATGCCATTCCCGGCCTATTCCGTGAACCAAATGGGCCGTAAGCGAATGGATTTAGAGCATCTCCAACCCCTCTATCTCCAAAACACCAAATTTTTCCAGCAAATGTCACATCAGAAGGAATATTCCCAGCATATTCTCACACCAAATTTTATTCATCTCCAACCCATTTACACCAAAACACCAAACTTTTACACTAAAATAATTTAATTTCTCAATTATTAGTTCGAATATAATTAGTTTAATATAATTTAGTTTGAACTTAATTAGTTTAATATAAATTATAACTTATTATGTAAATAATAATTTTTATTAATATTAATTTTTTATAACATTAATTATTTTAAAAAAATCGAATTTAACAATATTTTTGAAAATTGAATTTATTCCAATAATAATATAGCATACAACATCTAGTACATTTCATTATTGGAATTACTATATCGTTCCTACAAATGCTCAATCAATGCATTACGGAGTGCATAATGAGCTTCTTTATCTTTAATTTGTCTATGCCGAGCAAGAAATTCTTGAAATATAATATTTTCATCTCTAGCTATATCAACTTCAGGAGCCAGTGCTTCGTTCCAACCTTGTATATCTGCTTGCTCATCACGTTCATCCTCAATGATCATATTGTGCATTATAATGCACGATGACATTATATCATGCAATACACATTTATCCCAAAAACGTGCCAGTCCCTTGACTATTGCAAATCGTGATTGGAGAACTCCAAATACACGTTCTACGTCTTTTCTACACGATTCTTGCATCATCTCAAATAACTTCTTTTTTGGCCCTCGAGGTTCATGGATTGTTTGTACCAATGTGGATCATTTTGGATATATACCATCGGCTAAATAATATCCTGTGTTGTAGTTCTGTCCTTGAATAACATAATGACAAGGAGGTGCTACACCGTTTGCAAGATTTGCAAACAAATGAGATGCCTCCAAGACATTAATGTCGTTATTAGACCCCGGCATGCCAAAATGTGCATGCCAAATCCACAAATCATAATCAGCTACAGCTTCAAGAATAATAGTTGGTTCTCTACTCCGCCCAGCATATTGTCCAGCCCAGCCAGTTGGACAATTTTTCCAAGTCCAGTGCATGCAATCTAAACTCCCAAGCATCCCTGGAAAACCACGTTTTTCGCCAATTTGAAGCAACCGTACAACATCATTAGCATCAGGTACTCTTAGATATCGCTCCCCAAAGACCTCTACAATTGCTCGACAGAATCTCTTCAAACTTTCAATTGCAGTTGATTCTCCAATCTGGATATATTCATCTGTTGCATCTGCTGGTATTCCGTACGCCAAAATTCGAAACGCCGCTGTAACTTTTTGTAAAGTAGATAAGCCCAGTCTACCAATTCTATCCTTTCGTTGCACAAAATAGTTGTCATGGCCTTTAACAGCATTGGCAATTCGTAGGAACAAATTTCGACTCATTCGAAATCGTCTACGAAACATTGCTTCAGAATATTTTGGATACTCTGAAAAATAATCATTCCATAATCTTCGATCTGCTTCTTCACGATCACGATGAATCACTCTATGACCAAAAGTCGAACCTCCATTGCTTGGGGGTTGATTATCCATATATTCCATGTAGGAAGCTATGTCAAGGTTGTGGCTAGTATATTGGTTAATAATTGTGTTTGTGCTCGTATTGCACTTGCGAGATTATGCTCGGAATCCGATGATGAGGATGAGGATGATGATGAAGAAAATGGCATAGGACATTTTCCAGTGTTGGAATTCATATTTGAATTCGTATGTTTAGAGATAGATGATAAGGGGATGAATGTTCAATTTGTTGGTGATGCATAACGTTTTTATAGGGATAAAAGATATCACATGTATCTTTGGTATAAAAGATATCTGAATTGCTTAGAACCGTTAGATTAGATCACGAAGATCACATCCGTTCATTGGTATGCTTGTCCTTTTCCACACATATTCCAATAAAAGCTATCACATGCATCTTTGAATCAGCTTTTATCTGAATAGCTTAGAACCGTTAGATTAGATCGTGAAGATCATATCCGTTCATTGGTATGCTTGTCCTTTTCCACACATATTCCAATAAAAGCTATCACATGCATCTTTGAATCAGCTTTTATCTGAATAGCTTAGAACCGTTAAATTAGATCGCGAAGATCACATCCGTTCATTGGTATGCTTGTCCTTTTCCACACATATTCCAATAAAAGCTATCACATGCATCTTTGAATCAGCTTTTATCTGAATAGCTTAGAACCGTTAGATTAGATCGCGAAGATCACATCCGTTCATTGGTATGCTTGTCCTTTTCCACACATATTCCAATAAAAGCTATCACATGCATCTTTGAATCAGCTTTTATCTGAATAGCTTAGAACCGTTAGATTAGATCGCGAAGATCACATCCTTTCATTAGTATGCTTGTCCTTTTCCACACATATTCCAATAAAAGCTATCACATGCATCTTTGAATCAGCTTTTATCTGAATAGCTTAGAACCGTTAGATTAGATCGCGAAGATCACATACGTTCATTGGTATGCTTGTCCTTTTCCACACATATTCCAATAAAAGCTATCACATGCATCTTTGAATCAACTTTTATCTGAATTGTTTAGAACCGTTAGATTAGATCGTGAAGATCACATCCGTTCATTGGTATGCTTGTATCTCTATAAATACTGCAATTCGATTTTAGAAGTAATACCACCTATCTTTTGAATATCAAAATCTCTTTACATTTCTTTCTAGTTTAATAGTCAGTGAAATATGTCAAAAGCCTCACGTTCAATCCGAACTTCCTCATACTCAAATGAAGAAGATAAACTCCTTTGTACTATATTTATGGATATTGCCCAAGATCCTAAAAAGGGCAATGATCGCTCTGGAACAGATTTATGGGAACACATTACACAAGAATATGCTCGTATGCTACCGGCACACATTTGTACTGACCGAACTTCAAGATCGATGCATAGTCGTTGGGCAATGATATCAACATCGGTCAGCAAACTAAGAGGATGCATTCAACAAATAGAGAACATGAACCCAAGTGGTGCATCTGAACAAGATATTGTGAGTATCTTGTAAATTTGTGTTATTTTGTTTTTTCTTATTTTTTGTTTTAATTGCGTTGTTTAATTTGAATTATATTTTATTTATAACAGCTTGATAGAGCAAAGGAGTTAGTAAAGCAAGATCACAAATTCAAAGGTGGATTTAAGTTTGATCATGTATGGCCTATTGTCAAAGACATGCAGAAATATTGCAGAACTTGAAGCTTGCTAAATGTTGGAGGTCGAAAAAGAACTTCTGAAGGATCACAATCACAATCTTTCGGAATTGAGAAGTCAATAGGCTCTTCCTCATTTCCTGTTGATTTAAATGATGATTTTGAATCTGATGAACATTGTAATGAAATGAACAATGTAGGTGAACGTCCTACGGGAAGGAAGAAGGAAAAGATGAAGCAAAAACTCTCGGATGAGCGCAATCAATTTATTGCCGCAATGGAACAACAAACTGCACAATTCAAAGGAATGTTCGAACACAATCATGAGCTACTCCAAAAACAATATGAGCTTGATTTGTTTAAAGCTCAAAATGCAGCGAACAAAATAACATTGGCAAAACAAAAAGAAGATAACAAAATCTTAAGAGTGAATTTAAATTTGATAGAAGATCCAGCTGTGCATGAGTCGATTAGACGCCAACAACTACAAATTGTTGCAAAGAGAAATCAAGAGCATGGAGAAGGAGTTGAATCAAATCGTGAATTTGATCAATACTTTAACAATTTGGGAGGAAGTGGGAGTGGACTAGGAAATTATTAATTTTATTATATATTTTTTTAAATTGTGTTTGCATTTTCTAATATTAATATTATGTCGTATGTATTTTAATTTGTATTATGTTCTAGTCATGTTTGATGTATTTCGTATGTATTTTAACTTTTATTATGTTCTAGTTATGTTTGATGTATTTGAAATTTTAATTAATATATATTTAATATTAGTCTTGTTTCGATCGTATTAATGAGATCTTTAAAATTGTATAATTTTTATTTAATAATACAAACTTTAAATATAAGTATTTAACAAAATAAAAAATTACATATAAAACAAATAAAGGATACATTTGGAATTATAAAAAGAAGCAAGGGCAAAAGAGTAATTTTCTTTCCTATATTTAATTTGCCGCGGATGAACAGTGCAGCGCCAAATATGGCGCTACACTGTTCATTATCGCCATTTTTTTGGCGTAATGGCGCAATGCAGATACACCTTGGAGAGAGAAATTTGGTGGGATGGTGTTTTGGCGTGGAAATATGAGGCACCTTGGAGATGCTCTTAGCATGCAAATGTTGAAGGGACGGATTCCAAATTCTTAATCCAATATCCAATCGGATTAATGATTAGGATATTCAAACCGTTTGTATATGTTCGATACACAAGCAGGGGCGGACCCAGCACTGCCCCCACTCCTCCCACCCCCACCCTCACCCTCACCCTCACCTCATATATAACTCTTGTATGTATATATGTATATATAGTATAAGTTTGGTATAAGTATAATAAAATAGATAAAAGTTAACAAAATTTGAGTAGATCATATGGCAAGGCGTGTGTTATCTTTGGTGGAGGCCAGTGTTTGAATCTTAGGTGTGTTGGCAGATTTACTTTCTTTTATGTAGGTGGCAAAGCATGCATGTTATATTTCTTATGACTTTTAAATAGATTTACACACATATATATAATTTTTTTTTATTTTAATAATGAGATGTGTTTATAATGTATTTTTTATTTGAATTATTTTATCAAATTAATTATGTTTCATATTTTGTTATGAATATTTTTTAAAAAGTTTTTATGTGTTTTATTTTTCGTCCACATCCAACAATATTTATGGTTATACTTTTAAGTGTTTTATTTTTTTTTTATCAAACTATCTCTTTTGTTTTAATGTGTTTCGCCCCACTGAACAAGTTTTCTAGGTCCGCCACTGTACACAAGCCTAATCCATGTTCCAGGCAGTTGTTATATCGTAGATCGCGGTGCATATGCATCGCGGTAAAAAATGGCGCCATTTTTTTAAGTAAAGAAACGGTCTGCCGTTACCGTTAACGGAATCCGCATGTTTGATGTATTAAACATCAACTGACACTACAGTACATCTAAACCGACACTGCCTCACGTATTATTTTTATATTATCAAATGAAACTGCAGTCATATCAAAATGATACTGTAGTTGTAGTGAAATGAAACTGCAGTGTATATAAAATTAAACTGAATAACATTTCACATATTTGAGTGTATATTGTACAATGAAGCTGTAATTATATCAAAATGATCATGTAGTTGTGTTTTAATAAAACTATAGTGTATATAAAATAAAATTAAATAACATTTTCACATATTTGAGTCTATAAATATCGAATGAAACTGTAGTTATATCTAAATGAAACTGTTGTTGCATGTGTTGAACTGAAACTGCAGTGTATACAAAATGAAACTGAATAACATGGTTACTTTTTGCGAAAGGGTGCGGAACGGCGAAAAACAAATGTTATTTCTTTTCATTTAACAAAACGACATTATTTTGATGCGCAGTATATAATCGATACGGAAGGGTGCAGAAGGGCGATTATGCATTGCGTTACACGATATAATTTGCCATGTTCCAGGTAGGGCATGTCACGTGCATGAAAAGTAACCACTTTCATGACATCAACTTCCTTCCTAGGATCTAGTCAGATTCACCTCACAGGTTTATAGGATTGAGCTAGATAGCTTAGCCTCCTGTAAAGTTCTATCTGCTGCGTTTTAGGAAACTTTCATGACATCAACTTCCTTCCTTCTTACCATTGTCCATCATCCATTTTACGTGTCATCCAAATGGCAAATCTATTATCTTGACCATTGCCCACTAGACAACTTAACAAGTCCTAGATCAACTTAAAATAAGATGTAAGATAAGATTATATTCTTATCAAAGACAAAAATTTGTAAACTTCGTCGATCAACTTAAGACAAAGATTTGTAAACTTCGTCGATCAACCTAAAATAAGATGTAAGATAAAATTCTTACTGATGGATTATATGGACCCGGAAGTTCGGATTATACAACCCGAATATAGGATTGAATATAATTAGAGGCGGACCCAGCATGGGGGCAGTGGGGTCAGCTGCCCCCCCCCCCCCCCCTCACCCCACCCCCACCACATATATAACCCTTGTATGTATATATGTATATATAGTACAAGTTTTAGTATAAGTATAATAAAATAGATAAAAATCAACAAAAGATGAGTAGATCAAGTGGAAGGCGCGTGTTATTTTTGCTAGATGCCAGGGTTCGAATCCTTCTGCTGCTGTGCAGATTTGTTCCTTGTTACTTTGGCAGCAAATTGTTCATGTTATATTCAATTATTTTCTATGACTTTTAAACACTTCGTATTAATTAATTGCGAGATTTACATATATATAACTTTCTTTCATATCAATAATGAGATGTGTTTATAATGTATTTTTTATTCGAATGATTTTATCAAATTAATTATGTTTCATATTTTTTATAAAATTTTGATGTGTGTTATT